GAAACACCAGGCACTAAAAAATAGAACATATAGAATTAAAAAAAATACAATAATAGGTTGGTCACTACTTTCCCTAGGCAAAGATTTTAAAGTATTGTGGAGACAGTTTGGAATTTAAATATAAGGGGCCCCCCCAAAATCCAGAATTATTTTCTGGAGGGTGGGCTCCTTGTAGTACAAGCTTCCCCTGCTAGGTGACTGTTCTAAAAACCCATCCACATCAGTGGACCACCTGGTGGTGTAGTGAGAGGCTGTGTTTTTTGTAGTGAGAGGCTTCAGTGAATTTTTTTGAAGACACTTTCATTATGTTTGTCTGTTTCATGATGGTGATTTATAAGAGCACCCGCCCACACTGTCCTGAGTGTTCAGCAGTTTTTGACCCAAAATGGCATGGCCCCCGTGCCTCACCTTCCCTTTTCTCCCCATTTCTCCAGAGTGACTCCCCCTATCCTGGATGAAAAAAGCCAAAGGAAAATGTTTTGCTGATGTAGAAGAGGTGAAATTAAAAAATGGCAGAAGCACTAAAAGACATCAAAATCAATGAGTTCAAACTGTTTTGAGCAGTGAATAGGAAGAGTATCTGTTTTCTGCACCTTCTAGGCTTTTATTGGAGGTTAGGCAGCCAGCCTTACAGTAGAAGGAGAATAGGATCTGAGTCCTGGCCAGTCCGTTTGCTCACTTTGCACCTGAGCAAGTTATTGAAGTTTTCCCAGGTTATATTCTCTCCCTGTAAATGGCAATAACATCTGCCTCGCAGAGATACTGTCAAGATGGAGGGTAATAACATGAATATAACTGTAATCATGTTTTCATGATGACGTGTAGTAAAGTGTGGAATGCGGCAGCCATTCTGTGTTCTCAGTCCCAGGTACTTGGTGTTAGCACTTCCCTCCCACAGGGGTCACAGAGAATTCAGAGGCAGCCTTAGGTGAATCTTGGGAATGTTTTCATTGACTACATGTTGCCATTTAACATCAAAAGAGGAGATAACATTTTACACGCCAAGTTCAAAGAATTCGATTTCCCCCAATGGTCCTCTTTCTGGAATATAGTATCTATTTCAGTTGAGCCTTGTTTTGGTTCTGTCTGATATTTTAACAATCCATACACCATAGCAAACATACTGTTGAGTTGGCCAAAAAGTTTGTTTAGTTTTTTTCTATATGTATTTTTCTTTTTCACCAATAACTTTACTGATTTTGATGTTTTGACTATGTCTGCTCTCTCTCATGTGGTGTATAACATTGGTTGTTCTCAATTAATGTCCCAGTTTGAACTTCAACTGGTACCTGACCTTAAAGCATCGTCCAGTGAGAAATCTCCAGCATGAAACTGCAAACCACTTTTGACACATTTAGTCAGTCACAGCACCGTCTCCATACACTGCACAAATCTTTTTTTGTGTTTCAGTTTATTTTTACCTTTCTTGAAATAATAAAGAATAATATGCCAGCTGTCCATTTTTAATATTTAAATGGCTACATATTCACCAATTTTGAAAAGTTTATTTTTTAATGCACACTGATAGGACAGATGTCACGATACAGTTTAACAAAGTTGTTTCAAATGAAGTTAAAGACAACTAAATGCTACTAGAGCCATTTTATGGAAAAATAAAAAAGAACTTTTTGGCCAACCCGGTATTTTCAAGAAAGCCCAAGGAAGAAATTTGATTCTTCTTTCTATGAGTCCCATCTGGACTTTTCTTTTGTTAGATTTTTGACATTTTATGACATGTAATACCTCAAGTCATGATCTTGACTTTCAAGTTCTTGGTTGAACACTTTACATCTATATGTGACCTTCTCCTTTGCCTTAACCCTAAATTGCATAATCCTTAGTTAGGAGACAGAGGAAAGGAGGCCCTGGTTTCTGTACGCCAGGCACTAAGGTCATGAAGAAGTGAATGCCTCAGTGGCATTGTATGCAGTAAAAGAGTGAGATTATACTAGAGCATATTATTCATAATAAATACCTCTGACCAGGAAAACAAAGGAGCAGAGACTGGTGGGGAAGAAGGCAGGTTTGGGTACGTTTTTAATTCTCTGTCAGAACCTCACCTTCACTCTACTTTAGTATCCTTCTGCTTTGACTCTATGGCTCTTTTGTGAAGAAATCAGTCATCTCTTCCCCTCCTCCAAGTGTTCACTGTTGTTCCTGAAATATTAGTTAAATCTGGTGTGGAAATGAACCGTCCTTTATGTCTCTGAAAGGAATGGAGCAGATGTGACCCTCTGTGTGTGTTAGTGACCAAATCCACAAGGACCCTTTCTGATGACTTAGCAGTCATAGTGCTGAGCTCTGGGAGGTTTGGCCATTTTCTTACACCAGTTGTCTTGGAAACACATTTAGAATATGGTCCTTGACATTGGTCCTTTACTGAAGGAATCACAGGCAATTGTAATTGAAGGATGACATGTGTCTTTGAGTATACTTTTAAAATGTTTTCTAAGATCACTCTTGTATGGGAGAAGAATTATTTTCCCTCTACCCTTCTGAGTTCTAAGCTGAGACACCTGTTAACAGAAGACAGATTAACAAGAGAAAACACTTATTAAAATGTACGCCTCTTGTGCACATGGGAGATATCAGGAATAAAATAAGTAACTCAAAGAGGTAGATTTAGAATTTAAGCTTAAAGTACATCTTAATAGGGGAAAGGGGAGGGGCAGACAGAATGAATGATTTTTAGGAAACGTGGGTGGGAGGTGGTTTGTGACAACGTTTGTCTTGGTGGGGTGGACTTCAGTCTCTTGTGATGAGAGTCAGTGCTCTCTGCTTGATGGAACTGCTGAGGAGAGGTTATGAGAGTTGAGTCCTTTGTAGAGGATGTGTTTTTAGGCAGATACAGGGAATTCATAGAAAGCCTGTGCCTGCGTTTGCTGTTTTTCAAGTGCCTACAACATAAAACTGTCATTATGCCAAGTGGCAGTGTGGGATTGGCAGGTTCTGCTACCCTTTACTTTAGGTATCCACCAGTCAAAACTGGAATATTTGAAGGCCCTCTTGAAATGAAGCATATCTAATTTCAGCTTAATTCCTTAGATATATGTAGAAAAATATGTGAGATCTGGAAATTTTGTAATAAATATTATATTCCACCCATCCCCCAAACCAGAACAAATAAACCTATGCAGTCACAAATATTTCCTAGTTGCAGGCTTCCGTGGAGTGGTGGCATTGATAGTGACCATAAACTCCTGCTCTTTTTCTGTCTACTAAAATTCATAGGATAAGCCCTGGCTGGTGTGGCTCAGTGGCTTGAGTGCTGGCCTGTAGACCAAAGGGTCGCTGGCTCAATTCTCAGTCTAGGGTACATGCCTGGGTTGTGAGCCAAGTCCCCAGTGGGGGATGCAAGAGGCAACCACACACTGATGTTTCTCTCCCTCTCTTTCTCCCTTCTTTCTCCTCTCTAAAAGTAAGTAAATAAAAATCTTTTAAAAATAAAATAAATTTATAGGATGGCTTTCCTTTTGGCCTTTACATAAATTAGAACTATTTGTTTATTCTTGGTTGAAAATTAAGATCTCTGTTGTCTAAATCATGTCAGGGTAGTTAACAAAATAATATATTACATGCTTTAACATGACACCCACAATTAATAAGTCAGTAATAAGAACTTTCCTGTAAGGATTTTAGAAAGACTATAAACCGTTTTCATGTTATACAAAGTTTCATTTAGCCTCACAGTATTTTAAATTACTGTTCACCTTTGTACACCTTCTGGGGGTGGGTGCCTGACACCTCACTTACTCTAGTTCACAGAACTGTTTCCTATTCCAATCTTATTTCACACCTGTGATAACTTTGGGCCGATATCAGAGGGGAGAACAAGGCAGTAAAACAGCTTAGACCAGCGCTTTGCCCTTATTCTGTACCTCTGTGGAGCAAGGCATGATCACATTTGCTGGTAGATGCTGGTGGCACTGAAAGGTTGTTCCCTGACAGTACTCAGACCAGGGGAGGCTGAAAAACCAGTTGAAGAGAGTGAGGGATGACGTGGACCCCATTGTACCTTCTGCTCGTCCCCGGGCCAGTGACGTCCCACACAGTGCCTGTCTGTCAGCCCTCGTGTTAACGTATGAAGTACCTTCATCCCACAGCTCCGGAGCCAGTGAGGTGGTGGAGCTGGAAGGCAAACCCCAGGTCTCCATGCTAATACTCACGCTTTTTTTCTTATGATAGAGGGAAACTTTTAGATATTCTTATACTTATTAGATAGTTCAAAAACAAAAGTTTGGGCAAGTCATTCACAGAAAATCAGGTAAAGATTGTTTTCTGTCCTGGAATTAACAGTGATATCTGTATGTAATTTAGAGCAAGAGATACACATATTGTGAATGCATATTCAATTTATTTTCTCCAGGAGAACATCATGACCTGTCTGTTAAATGGGAATAGTGTGTCTCCGCTCTGTGATTGCTCTGTGGATTCAGTACAGCCATCTCTGAAGGTTTAGACTGGGCCAGGGCAGAGTCAGTGCTCCCTAACTCGAAGCTCTTACCAAGTCCTGTGATTCTTGATGTTATTTTTGGTGGGTGGTTTTCATGTGCTTTTGCGTTCAGCCCCAGATACACATACTTGTATTCTCTAACATCAGGGAGTGTGTTTTTAATGTATCAGTGCATTTATGTGGAATCATACTTAAAATTAATATTTAAACTTCTTGGATTGCAGAAGTGGCTGTAGCAGTAAACACGGTTTTTACCTATACAGTAAAGTAGGCTTTACCCGAGAAGTAATTGCATTGCCTTCTAGTCATATGCAGCATTACTTGGTTGTGTGTGCAATGACTTGCTTGTGTATTTTAAATAGAGGGTTTGAACTTCATACAGTATAGGTACTTTTGAAATTTGGAAAGGATTTGTTCACTAGGGCTAGTTTATTAATTTTGATATCTTAAAATATAAGACAATATATATTGTACTTTGAGCTTGAAAGAGATTCTTTGTCATTTAAATTCTAATTTACCTTGTTATTTCATTATTGTATTTTTTTAGGGAATATCTTGGTAAACAGCTCCAATCTGAGCAACCTCAGACTGCTGCTGCCCGAAGCTGAAGTGTGCCCTCCAGCCTTCCATTTCACCTGTGACACAACACCCGGAGTGTGAATCTCAGTAATTAAATGATTTTTCGTTTTGTTTGTAACTTTCTTCTGTTGTGTAGCTTTCCCACTGCTGATTTCTGGTAAAAGTGTTTGCCCATTAAATTGTATCAAAAGAGTAGGTGTTTTCTGTATCTAAGAAAATATTAGTTATATATATATTGCCTGTATTTCTATATTTATTGTTCTCTGGAAATTAATATAGTTATTAAAAGATTCTCACTCCAAATACGGTTCTCTTTTTACTCATTTTGTACTTAGACTTTAACAAAAATTACATATTGTCCCAATCAGATTGAGAGAATGGTTGCAAAGTAGTGAATGGCAAATACAAGGGGGTCCCCACAAAAACAGAATTATCTTGGAGGGTAGACCCCTTATACAGACTTCCCCCACTAGGTGAGTGTTCTAGGAACCCATCTGTATCAGTGTACCAGCTGGTGGTGGTGTGAGAGGCTGTGTTTAGCTTCAGCAAATATTTTTGAAGACTCTTGCAGTGCGTTTGCCCATTACATGAGGGGTGATTTACAAGCACACCTGCGCACATCATGCTGAGTGTTCAGCAGTTTTTGACCAAAAACAACATGACCCTCATGCTCCACCTTCCCTTTTCACCCAGTCTGGGCCCAAGTGAATTTTTTTTGTTTCCCTAGATGAAAACAGTTCTCAAAGGGACATGTTTTGCTGATGTGGAAGAGGTGAGAAAAAAATGGCAAAAGCACTAAAAGGCATCAAAATCAATGAGTTCAAAAACTGTTTTGAGCAATGGAAAGAATGTCTCATTAGGTGTATTGCATCAGATGGAGAGTACTTTGAAGATGACCAATGTTTAAACACGTAAGAATAAATACAAATTTTCTTACAAATACCGCTTTTTTGGGTTCCTCCTTTGTAAATGTTTTGAGATGATATATGTCTGTATCTGTCCATCTGTCCATCCATCCCTCCATCCATTCACACATACACATTGCAGCAGTCCTCTGCTAATATTTAGAGAGCTTTTATTAGGCATTTTAAAGGAGCTAAACAGCCCAAATAAGGACCACAATGGTTACAAAATGTGTTACTCCACCTATAGAAACAATTTACATAGAATTTTTTCTATACTTTTTATGTATTCCTCTTTTAAAATCCTTTTGTGCCTCATTGACCACTAGTCTCAATTTGTCAGAAATAATTTCACCGAAAGTTGAAATATATTAGGAAAAACTTGATGCAGAATTTAGGTGTTGTTTTATTGGATTTGTTGTTGTTGAGGGCACAATGGGTTTTACAAAGGTTGACAGGAAACCCAACTAAAAAAACTAACTTCTAAAGTATCCATTAATCATTTATAATAAAATTAACCTTGAGCACATATGAACAGTAATTTGAAGGGCGGAAGAAACCTTTGGATTTTCAGCTTTTGAGGGCACATACATGTTCATGTTAAAGGGAGAATGAAATCCTATCTTTTTTAGAAAGCTCCTTTTTGGGGTCTGGTTGACCCTCTTTTTAAAAGATATGTGAGAAGAGCCTTGCCAGTGAAACTCATTCCCACACTTTAGACCTGGCCAGTTGCAGGTGTCAGATTTATAGACTATATCAGTGACAAAAACTCCTTTCTGTTTAGTCACATTAGAGTAATTGAGGTCAATTTTCTTTCTTTTTTTTTTTTTTAATTTAAGATTTTTTTTAGAAAGGAAGAAAGGGAGAGAAACATCAATGTATGGTTGCCTCTCGCACACCTCCCCGCAGCCTCGGGGACCTGGCCTACAGTCCAGCTACGTGCTCTGACTGGGAATCGAACCAGTGACCTATTGCTTTGCAGGCCAGCACTCAATTCACTGAGCCACACCAGCCAGGGCTCACTTCTCATATAATTAAGATTTAAGTGATTTTGTAACCTTTAGATGTCAAGTCTTGGAAAGCACAGAACCAAGTTTTGATGCTTTTAGCTTATTTTTTATAATTGTTTAAAAGGTTTTCTGTTCTCATTCTTTGCCTTTGAAAGTAGAAAATATTTGAGACTAAATTTTGGAACCACAGTTAGTAGGTGTCAAATTTGAACCTTGTGATGAAATCACTTTTCAGTTTGAAATGTCTCTCTTGTTTTGCTGTACAAAATGTTCTGTTCTGCTTGAGAGATGAGGCTCCTTTAACTCTCTGAACAAGTTTCCAATGAAAAAGTCAGTTGGAAAGAAGAATGAGCTGCAAATAATGTTACTGCAAATATGCAATTTATGCATATTTGACACCAAGTTCATATTCTTTTTCAGTTTTTAAAAGGGAAAGTGTTGAGTCCTCTTCAAAAAATGAAAGTGGAAGAACCACTCTATGAGTGGCTCAAAAGTCTTTACCTTCTAGTAACTATCAATGCTTTTGTCTTTTCCCGTCAAAGAAGAAAGGAAATACCAGGATACTTGGTTGAAAGGACCAGAATACAAAGATTACCAAATCACAAGGTAACATGGGTAGAAATAAAATATTTTCAACTATGGCACAAAGCTTTCAGGGAGAAAGAAAATGGAATTATACTCTTGTAAGGTTTTTACATATATGTGAAGTGGGATGACCACATGAAGTAGAGTGATAAATGCACGATGCATATTTAATTCCCTAGAGCAGCCATGAAAACAATAAGAGGTACAGCTAAAGAGCCATTAATGAAGGTAAAATGGAATACTAAAAGTACTTACTTAACCCAAAAGAGAACAAGAGAAGAGGAACAAAGAAGAGAGGAGACAGGAAATAAATAGCAGGAAAATAGACAACCCAACAGTAGCAGTAACTACACTCATGGGAGTCTAGACTCCCACCGTTATTCATCCAGAATTTTGACTGTTCAGTGTTGCCACCCCCAGGAAACCATTGCTTCCAATTCCCAAGATTTAGGGAGAAGGGGTGTTCTAGAGTGCTGTAGTCAGGTTTGATTAATGAAGAATGGAATAAACTTGTTTGGGAAAAAACAGACTTTTGTCACTTGCAAATTCAAGGTTCAGGGTAATTTGGAAAGAATAAATTTTGCAGAGTCACAGTAGGAAGAGTTCAAAACCCTTCCTTGCCACCAACGGAGGTTTGTTCCCTTGTTATTCCATCTGTTTACATGTCCACTTGTCTATCCATTCTCGCATCTTCCATCTGAATCATTGTTTTGAGGTTCTTTTTATTGTTATTGAGACCTAAGTGCTTCCAAGATATTGAAGTGATTGTGAAGAGGACTTGTTGGCCTCTGTTCTCCTCAAGTTTAATAGAAGATGGAATTTCTGACGTAATTCCTGAATACAGAGCTTTGTCCCTTGCCTCACCAGATACGCTGTGGCAATGACTTCCAGCTCCCTCTCTCCAGAAGTTCTTCACTCCCATCCAACAAAGGAGCCCTGGCTTCTAAGTGGCTACTCCTGTCATGCTGTCCCAAGTGACTAATGCTGACAGTAACTGATCCCAGGGACCTAGGAATGGCAATTCATTCAGGAATATCAGTGAGTCTCTGTAGTGCAATAGACTCAGGTATTGATTTATTTTGATACAATATTAATTGTTATTTTGATACAGAAAAGTAGCAAGAATAATATAAAGGGCTCCCATATGTCTCTTAAAGTTCATGCTGGGTTGATTATGGATACTTTAAAATCTACTGTAATATTTGCTCTTGGCACATGATTTTTTCCCCAAAGCACTGTCTAGGTGTTTTTTTTTTGTTTTTTTTTTGCTAGTTTATTGTTCTAGATGAAGTTTGAATTATTTAAGTTTCCATTGAGATTTTGATATAATTTGTTTTAATCTATACATTAATTTGAGAAGGCTCTTATATACTAATTTTCCCCTCTGAAAAATAGATTCTCCCTTTAGTCAATGTGTCTAAAATTACAGTAGCTTCAACATATAGATCCCAGAAATTTTGTTAAAAGTTTTTTCTACTAGTTCTTATACTTTTGTTGTTGTGAAAAGGATTTTTTCTCATTATATGTTAACAGTCTTTCAGCCTTACATATTTTCTCGGTATATAATCCCATAACCTACAACTAATGACAACTTTGTTTCCTTTCCAAGAGCTGCGTGTGTCCTTTCCGTTCCACATCAGTCATGGAGAGATCTAGGTTAAATATAAGCTCTGCCTCATGCTATCAGATATCATCAAGTTTCCTTAGGCTCCAGCTTATTTATAAAATAGAAATGATAGTATCTGCTTCATGGAGTTGTTAGGGTTAAAGGATAGTGTGCTTGAGTCATTATTAATAACTTAAAATGTTCCTTATTAGTTATTGCATAGGTCTGGACTCCCAGGACAATGCTACTTAATCTTGTACACTTTGTGGGTCTTAATCCTAAAGGTGATGCCCTCAGTGTTATGACCTTGTGCAAGATTCATCTATTGGTCTTAGACATTTACCATGTTAGGGTGAAAGCTAAGATATCCTTGTAGTTCTGGAACAAATGAATCATATTTGATCATGGTGTACTATTCTTTTAATATGCAAATAAATTCCATTCATATTTACAAATAGTCAATGCGTTATTTAGTTTATTAGCTTTTCCTCTCAGCTTTGGCCACCTGACACTATAACTTTATGTCCTCATCCAAGTCTTTTTTTTTTTTTATTTTTTATTTTTTTTATTGATTATGCCATTACATTTGCTCTATTCCCCCCTCCTTTCCCCTCCACCCTGCATACCCCTCCCCCACCATTTCCCCCTTTAGTTCATGAACATGTGTCTCAAATTCTTTAGATTCTGTGTTTCCCCTACTATTCTTACCCTCCCCCCTATCTATTTTCTATCTACTGTCTATACTACTTATTTTCTGTACCTTCTCCCCCCTTCTCCTCCTCCCACTCCCCTGTTGCTAACCCTCCATGAGATCTTCATTTCTATGGTTCTGCTCCTGATCTAGCTATCCTCTTAGTTTGCTTTTGTTTTAGGTGTGGTTCTTAATAACTGTGAGTTTGCTGTCCTTTCACTGTTCATCTTTTTTATCTTCTTTTTCTTAGGTAAGTCCCTTTAACATTTCATATAGTAAGGGCTTGGTGATGATGAACTCCTTGAATTTGGTCTTATCTGAGAAGCACTTTATCTGTCCTTCCATTCTAAATGAAAGTTTTGCTGGGTAGAGCAATCTTGGTTGTAGATCTTTGGTTTTCATGACTTGGAATACCTCTTTCCAGCCTCTTCTTGCCTGTAAGGTCTCTTTTGAGAAATCAGCTGACAGTCTGATGGGAACTCCTTTGTAGGTGACTGTCCCCTTAGCTCTTGCTGCTTCTAGGATTCTCTCCTTCATTTTAATCTTGGCTAATGTAATTATGATGTGCCTTGGTGTGTTCCTTCTTGGGTCCAACTTCTTTGGGACTCTCTGAGCTTCCTGGATTTCCTGGAAGTCTATTTCCTTTGCCATCTTGGGGAAATTCTCCTTTATTATTTGTTCAAATAATTTTTCAACTGGTGGTTGTGCCTTTCCCCCTTCTGGTACCCCTATAATTCGGATGTTGGAACGTTTAAAGATGTCCTGGAGGTTCCTAAGCTTCTCCTCATTTTTCTGAATTCTTATTTCTTCATTCTTTTCTGTTTGATCATTTTTTTCTTCCGTCTGGTCCTCTCCCTTGATTTGAATCCCAATTTTCTTTCCATTACTATTGGTATCTTTTGTATCAGCATTCATTTCAATTAATTTAGCTTCCATATGTTTCTCTAATTTGTGACTAAAATCCACCAGTTCTGTAAGGATCTTTATAACCAGTGTTTTGAACTGTGCATCTGAAAGACTGGCTATTTCTTCATCACTTAGGTCTATCGGTTCTGGGGCTCTGAGTTGCCCTAGAGCCATTTTTGGTCTGTTCGTGCTGTT